GGGGGGGGGGGGGGGGGGGGGGGGGGGGGGGGGGGGGGGGGGGGGGGGGGGGGGGGGGGGTGCGCAGACATGGCTGTACAGTGGTCATTTTTCGAACTTAGTTTTTTCATGGACCACCCTCGACATATACACTTCAAGCGGTTGATCGAGCGGTCTCATGGATTATTGGAGACTTCTGGGGGTATCTGCAAATGATAGATGATAAGGCTGATAAGGAGGGTAAAGTTGAGAACACTTTGCGTGGCGGCTGTGATGTGAAGCCTGTTGTTGCTATCCGTCGGTGTCGCCGTTGTTGTTCTTCGTTTTGTCCCGTTTCTTGCCGTTGTTATCGTTCCTCTTGTTGCTGTTCGTGCTGTTGCTGGTGGCGCAGGCGGCGACGGTTCCCAATATGATCACTTCAGCTCCCTCATCATGAAGAAAAGCATGATTTCTAGTGTATCTGCTGGTCCAGTAGCTGTTTGTTGAATAGCTCCTGCCTTTTATATGTAGTTGCGATGGAAGTAAAATTGAGTTCGTTTTCTTTGGACATTGCGTTTTGTGCCGATCCTGCGGTCTGCTTCTTGATCTTCTGCGACGACAACGACTACTAACAGTTACTAACACTACTACGCGTTCTGCGAGTGTTGCTTGAGCATGTATGCCCAAGGAACCATTAGTGCCGACAGCTGCACCACAGAAGGCACTGGTGGAGGCAAGATTTCTCGCTAGCCTGCTGTTTTGACCAATAACAGTTAGAGCTCTTCGGCGCTTTAGAGGAAGACTCGTATAAGTAGTCTCAATTTGACATGATTTGACAAGAGGAGATGCGACAAGCAAGTTGTAGTGCCACCCCACTGCCCTCTACTTTCACGCATCACATTGACGTGGTTTCGGGTCTTGGAGGACATGTTTCCTCTTTCCTGCGCAAGACACTGTAGCAAACTATATGATGATATACTTTGCTACAATGCATGATATCATGTTTGGTTTCGTGCTCTTCTAACTCGTTCCATCTTGTTCCTTTGTTCATATTGCATATAACATTGCACGAACTTATGCTCCAATATTCTATGGTACTAGAGGTACGTGTTGCTGAGTTTGTTTATCATATGTTTTTGGTTTGTTGTGTTACAGTATGTTACGGCCTAGTATGGTATAGCAGGGCATAGCATTACAATACAGTGCAGTACGGCCTAACATGCTATGTTGTACTATATTGTACCCTGTTCTTTTATACTACACCATATTGTGTTACAGCCTATCCTACTAAATTGTACTAGACTAGACTACAGTAGACTATACTACAGTAAGTACCAAGGCCAAAGTATTGAGCAACGTTCGAGCGGTAAAGCGGCGAGCACAGGCTTCACTACCTGCAATGCTGGAGCTGCTAGTCAAAGCACCAGCTAATCGCCCTTCCTGGAACCTATGGGATCCTGAAGGGAGGAGGGTTCAAGGGGGTATAGAGCCCACTACATAAGGTCCCCTCTTGCAAAAAAGTCCCCCTTGCAACCACCTCTGTTCTATCGTCAGGCATTTTCATCCTCAATGGCGACTTCCGGCAGACAGGTGGAAGTACACATCTGCAGAAGCTTGGCACCAGCAAGCCATAGGTGAGACAGTCACCAATTGGGCGTCAAGACCTTTCAGCTCAACCCCGCGGCGGGCACATTTGGACATTCAAGGTTGGAGCCTTTTGGGCACATTGGGGGCCTGCCCTGTGGAGTCAGGGCTCTTGGCTTTATCCATGCCAGCTGATTGTCATGTTTCAGTCTAGAGTCGACTGCCGCGCCTGGGCAGCTTCATGCAGTTCATCTCAAGGATGTGTTGTGGCCCATTTCGTTCGGGGATGTAAGTGGGGCCACTCCTGTCTCAGAACCGAGGAACTCCTTCCCATCCAAGTTCGCAGATCCTCCTAGTTTTGCAACATAGAAGCAGATGCTTTGCCGAGGAACTGCACTGCAGACGTGCTTGCAGGGGGCATCGGCTTGCAGACGCCCGGCAGCCAAAGTCACAGGGTGCAAGTGCAAGCTCTTCCTGCAACGTCACACATAAAGAGTCTGTGCGATGCGAGTTCGTTCCCACGACAGTTGTCTTGCAGGTCTCTGCTGACAGCGTGGAAAGCTAGATTTATATTTTCCTGCAGGCATTCAGGACTTGTCTTGAAGCATCGCTTTCGGTGCAGACCTCATCGTGATGGGCCTTTCCCGAATTTGCAGGGAAGCTTTGCTGAAGCAAATCCTGCACAGAATTTCTCATGGGCTAAGGAATGGAAGCCTCGTGCAAAAGGAGGGCTACCTATGGATTAGTTTCGTGGCAGTCATTGTGAATCCACGGGCTGGGCCATGCCTTGATCTGTAAAATTCTTGCTGCATGATCCCTCGCTACATTTCCGATGTGGGACGCTTCGTGAAGCAAGGCGACTGCCATGCCGGTCAGGCGGGTGGTGCCTGCAGCGTCCAAGCTCCTTGCCACATTGAGCCTTTTTTTTGGGAGATTTGAAGACCCGCACCCGGATTCGTGGTTGTGTCTACATGAGCCTGCTTCCCGCAGAATATTATTTACCAAGTCAACATGACCAACCGCAAATGAGATCTTGAACCAGGTTAACCACGTTTCAAGCGTTTTGGAGCTGCCTCGATTCAAACCAGGAGCTGCCCGAACCCTAAACCCAAATGGCTCAAGCTGCATCTCGGCATTGAGGTAGCTTCCTTTAGCCATTCGCATCCCAAGCCGTTCCAGACTGCCGGTTGTATGGTGTCTAGCAGACTCTAGTGTTTGTGCTGTTGGGCGTCGAACCGCAGTGCCAGGGCGGAAGCATCCTCCGTGGCCCCGAAGCATATAAAATTGCATAAATAAAATCCAAAGCAGTTGCTGCGCCCGAGGCATTGATGCATCCGTTGTGTCACCAGTGACACTTACGGTACAGCAAGGGGGGTCGCAGTCCCGTGTACCCCAGCCGCAGTGCTGATTGACGACCAGCCCAGCCTCAACGGATGGTGCTGTCAAGACAGGCATGACGGGTCTGCTGGCCACATGTGAGCCGGCATCGTTGGCTGGAACACCCGTGACACCTACAACATCGTGCAACTAGAAACCATGGGGCCAGGACATGGCCTACGGGCCGTCGCTGCAGACCTTGCACCACGAAGCGTTCTCAGGAACAACATGTTCGTGTCTGGGGGTAGCCCGCTCTGCGGACCTGATCCTCCGCAACAGTCTTGATATGCCTAGTTCCGCAAACTCGGCGTTGGCCCCCACGCTTCTTCACATCCTTTATTTTCGGGAGGGGCGGGCCACCTGGGCCAAGTAGTCCTGAAACGTAATAGCACTCCGATCCCAGATACCATCGTATGCATTTTCTCCTCCCATGCTGTTTCGGATGCCCAACAAACACTCACCCTGCGGGTTGGGTGCTTACCCACGTGCCCGTACAACTGAGCTGCTTGTACATTGCTGCATATGCACATCGTCATTCTCGCAGCAGGCCCGCCACTGATCGCCACTGCTTGAAGACAAGATTGGGGCTCCATCTTCTCGAGCATGCTACCGGTCAGATACGCCAAGACGGCACCCATTAGTTATGCCCCAAGTGGAGTCCAGCAGGGGCTCTACTCGAAGCCCCACGCGGCAGGTTGAGTGACCCAAGGAACAACAAACAAACATGGAAATGGAAACCCGAAACGGTGCCGACTGGATCGGAGACCCTGGCCTCCACGGGTCCCGCCACCCCCAAGGCGCGAGCAGGCTTCGGGACTGGCAAGCAGCGAGGAGCACGAGTTTGAAGCAGCAGAGCCTGCTTCGTGACCAAGGCAGTTTTAAGCGCCGTCGTAGTGCCAAGTGGCCCAAAGAGGCGCACAAAGGCTAATTCGTGCATGTCAAAGCCCCCGGCAGCGGAAAGCGTCGAGCGAGGCGAGACAACCTTACAACACGGACTCTTGAAGGATCCTTAAGAGCCTTAAGAGCCCCAGGTAGGAGGCAAAAAGAGCCCAAGGAAGGCAATGTCGACCAGAATGGGACCGGCGAGATTTTCTTCGATGGCTGCTCCTCGGAAGGCGTCGGAGGTGCGAAGACGTGCGCTGAATTCTTTCATGAGTTGCAGAAATGAATCACGAGTAACATAAGAGCCTTACAATTTAATATAGGCTTGGACAAGGGCTTTCGCATGGGTGTTAAACAAACCTCACAAACTAGAATAACTAGAATAACTATAGGTTTTGGGGGTCGTCCAATCCGACCGGGACCCTCATGATAGAGTGTGGGTCGAGGGCTTGATTTTTGTTTTCGTAGGGCTGCCGCGGTAATTACGCTGGGTCGGCTTCCCACCCAGTACGACTGCAGCGCTTGGTTGCACGATGTACAAGTTAATGAGCATGGGAAAGAAACGCTACTTGCAAGTTGGAGCCCAGTTCTTGTTCCACCCGAAGCCCTAAACCTGTTGCCTTTGTTGTGGAGGTGGCCTTTGTGCCTTTTCTCGGGGCTCAGTGAAGCTGATGGGGAAGAGCGTGTTTCAGCCGCCGGGCTTGTGTTTGGCTTTTCAGCGCACTCTGCCGGTTAGGGTTTATAGTTGATAGGGGTTAGAGTATGGTTACAGCATTGAGGGTTTCTTTGGAGCTCAGGCTTGAGGCTTTAGGCGTTGTGAGTGCAGATCTTGAGTTTGGGTAGCAAGGCTTTGGAATGTCAACCCCTGCCGCCAGGCATTGCAGATCTGCCTGTAACATGCTCAAACATGACATGCAGATGGTTGTCGTAGTGTACCAGAATCTCAGATGGGCCGTTGAAGGCATGCGATGTGAACAGCTAGGCACTGCGTCGCTGGAATGAGTGGTGCAGCTCTGCCCCTTGGCAAATTACGACCGGGAAGGGACCCTCCAAAGTTCGCTGGTGGGGAACAATGACCAGTAGAACCCGTAGAGATTGCCTTCCACTTCAAGAGAGCCAGGTACAGCATTGCACCGACAACAGTGGCATCTTCCACCATCATCGACACAACCAGACACGGCAGCTGGCTTGCATTGGAAGATCCGGCAAGAGTGGCTGTATTGCACTCTTAATTCGTTTTGAAGCGCACCGAGTGGCATGTTCGAAGCAAGTTCCGGAGCCGATGTGACAGGGTCAGGGTATCATCAAGATTCCGTTGCCAGGTCAAACTTCCTTCTTCGTGCGAAGCAGCCTCGTCATGCAGAATGTGTCCATATCGAGCCTTGGTGTAACCTGAGCTCGCACGCTTGCTTAGGTTAGCAGGTTGGACTGCAGCCGCTACAACACGACCTCGCAAGTAGCTTCAACGGGTAGCCTCCCCTTTCGAGAGCCGGAGTCCGAGAGAATACCAGCGCCTTTTCAAGCTTGCCGCACTCCCCAGGGGCGCGTTGCAGCAGCCGTTTGAGGCCCTGGCAAGGCGTGGAAGCCTCAAGTCTCCGAAGCTCACACCGAATTTCAGGAGTCTCACACACATTCTCGACTGGCCAACTGCAGAGTTGGTCACGAGTGATCGCTTTGTCGTCATGTTTCGTTGAATGGTCACATGCGTTTGCTAGGCATGGGCGTGGTAGTGGGTGTGGGATGGGTGCGTGGTGTGGGTGGGGTGGGTGGGTGGGTGGGTGGGTGGGTGGCTGGGTGGGTGCGCATGTGCGTGCGGGTTGCGGTTGGGTATGAGTCTCTCTGATCGTGTGGTTGGTGTATGTTGGTGTGAGAGCAAGGGAGGGAGAGAGAGAGAGAGAGAGAGAGAGCGCGCGCACAGGCACACACGCTGAATCAACATACATAGCATGTCGTAGTACCTACAGATGATACGGACAGACGGACGGACAGACAAGCAGGCAGACGTCAACTTCTATCCGAGACACAGTGTAGTGTGTATGGTACGCCAGACATGTACATATATAAATTATATAAACAAACAAATAAATCGACATGCATTACGTGTATACTCATGTTGTTTGTACATATGCGTATCCATCTTCATGTGCTGGTTGACATGTAGGTGCATGTAGACATGTGTTTGTAAGTCTGGCGTTTGTGCTTCAAGTGTTGTGTGTTTGTTTACGACATCAGCGGCTGTGCAGGGAGATCACCATCACGCAGCCTCCAAACTGCTCGCTACTGGCGGATGGCTGCCAGTTCACCGCCACATCTTTGCAGGCATGTGCATTGCGAGTCGCTGTCTTATGACGTGTCTGAGAGCAGCGATGCCTGCACCGCTTAGATACGAAGACTTAGTCCCTATCCATGGCAAAGCGCAGGTGCCGCCGCCCCTCTGCTCCCAGGGCACCGGAGTCGTCAACCTCACCACGGACGGGCAGTCGATGATAGGCCCGGCGGTCGCTTCTTCTGAGTCTGCAGGCTGACTCGTGCGAAGGGTACAGAAAGCAGCACAGGTAGCAATATCCTCTCATGCAGCCCCCATAGGACGAGAGTAAAAGAAGGCAACAACAGCACCCTCTTGACTCCCTGAAAGCAACAAGCGGAAGTTCTCAGCGCAAGCTGCTTCAGGTTGCGAAAAATGTCCCCAGGGCCCCGACCTCAGTTGTTTGGGCTTTGTGGTTTATCATGGGGTTCGGGACCTGACACGCTGCAATGGATTTGGACGGTATACTCTCCGTTTGCTTCGGGCTTATCTGCCAGATTGGGTATTGAGATGCCCTGCGCGCCAGCCTCAGTATCACCATTTAGGACCATCACCCACATCACTGTCATCGTCTCCCATCCCACCACCATCATGTGTCTGAAGATGGTGGTGAGTGGTGTCCATGAGATCGAAGATGGTGACGGTGATCCTGCCGTGAAGCTGCTTGTGTTTGGTGCGTTGGTGGTTGTGGTGATCGTTGTGGTGGTGGTGGTGGTGGTGGTGGTGGTTTTGGTGGTGGTGCTGCTGCTGTTTTGATGGCCAGTAGTAGCACGTGCACGGGCTTGATGATGACGATGAGTGTGAGAGCTCTATCGCGCGTGTCGTGCTCTTTCCGTGCGCATCTGGGATCCGCAGCGTTCCAAAATCTCTTCCAGGGAACGACGAACTGTCCATGCCAGGACGGGTTGAAGGTTGTTTGCCCAAAGAACCCACAAAGCTGAGAGATGGTCAGAGTCCTGCGCCTGCTCCAAGGTTTCATGCAGCTCATGGATGCCAAGTCAGAGGTGGGCTGCACTACGGGGTTGCCTCCCCCGGCATGGTAAGTGCAGACGAATTCTAGACAATGCGGGTGTTTGCCACTTTGGTTGTCATTTGTTGGTGCTGTATAGAGATGGCATTGAGCTGGATGCGCCTCGACTTCTAACTCGTAGCATCGTTGTGGAAGGCACAAGGTAGTCATCTAGACCCCAAAGCCCCTAACCGTAGGCTTTGTTGAGCTGTCGGTGAAAGAGGCCTGCCGTCCGTGCCCAGCCAGCGCTCAGATCTGCGAGCCTGCCCGGGTCTTCTCTGCAGATCAGAACCGTTTGATTTCCATTTTCTTGGTTATCTACCTGCACAAGCGAAGAGGAACACTTTGAATCTTGTTAGTTTGGTTATGTTTACCTGAACATGTCGGTTGTGTCCATGTAGGTGTTTTTTCTCTTCCGCTGTCGCAAAGCTCCGCACCAGGTCAAGATGCGGCCGGGTTACATGGTCACCATACGTTCGAGCATCAATGACCTGAGCCCACCACGGCGCTGCGCCGCACCGAGACTTGTCTCAAAGTAGGGTGCCCTCGCTCCCTAAGCACTGCAGCGACCAGGGTTGAAGAGTCAGGATCCGAGACAGCTGCCTGGTAGCTAATGCTCATGTTCCAGTACTAAGCCTTTCTAACAATAGCAGATATGTACATGTGTTAGATGTACGCACACATGGTAAGGCACATTTTTTGCCACACACAATCACACCCATACATACATACATACATACATACATACAAACATACGTACATACATACATGCATGCATACATACATACTCGCACATAGATAGGTAGATTCGTACATACAGTTTGACGAGATGTACAAGTACATGCACATGGACAAAATCACTTCCCCCCCACACACACACACTGTGTATCATTGTGTGTATATTATATATATATATATGTCTCTGTGTGTGTGTCTGTTTTCATGTACTGATAAGTAGACAGTTCTGCTTTGTTGCGAGGAAAGCCTGCCCTGGAAGATCTTTGCCGGAGGAGCGCTCTTCCTGTGCGGAGCCATGGCTGCGAGTGCGGGCCAGAAGCGAGTGGCTCCGGACCAGTGGATCCTGTTTGGGTAGTTCTCTTTTTTTTGGGCCCCGTTTAAGGTAACCACAAATAGTACGGCACCCTTTGAAAAGGACACTGATTTAGGGAACTACCCATCTGTTGATACATCTCATTTGCGGTCTCCCGTGGCTTTGCAAGCGCAGCATGTGTTCTCTCAACTGTCCTCTCCAGCTGTTGCCTTATGCCAATTTCCATGATGGACTATTTGGCAATGTATTCTGTTGTTACCAGGGGCTCTCTGTTATGCAGGACGCCGACTTTAAGTCGCTTTGGATTTTTTAAGGTCCAGAATTTTGCGGTTTTAGGGACGTTACAGTTTGGCTTTAGGTTGCTCCCAAGGTCCTGATGCAGCATTCGGCCATGTTTTTCGGAGGGGTTTGAAGATTTGGAGAATCCGGACGTGGCTAGATTCTTTGCGCAGTTATACTTGAAAATCATGGCACATGAGGTATCCACATGTGACTGCTCTTTCTTCACTGGCCGTCACGTCCTGACATGAGCTCAGGGTTGGGGGGGGGCAGGCATAGCTGTAGAGACTTGTTTCGAAAACTTAGCTAGATCGTAGTAGTTGGTGCAGACTATGACAAAGGGTTAGGGTTTGGGTAGGGTTTAATAGTAGAGTTTAGTGACTCTGGAAACTCGTTGTGTCTACCTTCACCCTAAACCCTAAACCCTCGAGTGTGAGCTCCGCAACCCTTCACTATGGGACTATGGGCCTTGCAGCTCGAAGTCGTAATCTCCAGGATGCTGGCATTCCATTCCGGGCTAGCTGGGGTTGGCGTTCCTTTCCTTTCGTTCTACGATGCACTACCATCGCCGGCAAAGGGCCAATGATTTTTACGGACCTTGAAAAATCATCTGCCAAAACCCGGTTTTCCAATTAAACCCAGGTCGGGAGTTTGAAATGTGGGGGAACTCGCCCACGATCTCATAGAGGCTATTTCCTGGACCTTGTGAATCATGTTCGAAATTGTAGTAGAGCCCAGACGAGCAGACCCAGGTTCGGTGGTCGTGCTGTGGAACGCAAGCAGATGAACTGAGGTTGGACAAGGGCCAACGCGATCTTGCCAGGTTTCCTGAGTCCTTTCCAACAGGGAGTGCATGATCTCCCGATCGCTTCCAACCCCGGCCCGGCCCGAGAACTGCTGGCTAACTTGGCTGCAGGTCTTTGCTGGGTCTTTGCCTGTCCCCATTCATCCCAACACTCACCAAGGATTGCAAACTACCTGGCCTCCTTTTTCTGACAATTTGTCTCACCTTCCGTTTCGTTCCCGTTGTCCTGATCCCTGTGGTACGAAAACATGTGAAATCCCGATGCCTGTAGTCTAGAGCAGAAACTTCAGGGTTGTGTGCTCACATGCAGTGTGATGTTATATATTCATATATTCTGTTATACATTGACAAGATATATAGTATATTTATAATGTAATGATATGGGGTGCCGTGCATTGCGCGACCAGGAAGGCTATGCTGGGGATGGATGCCTGCACTGTGACAGCACGACCCATGCAGCTGCTGATGGGCAAAGCCTTTCTTGCACGAAGTGTGGAGTCGGTGGCTTGGCTGATTTCAAGTCCCGTCAGCATGGAAGGTCCAAGGTTGTTGATTCTATAGCCGCTTTAGCTGCGTTGCAGTTCAAGAAGCAACAGCAGTCCTCCGGCACGCCACTTTGCATTGCCATCGAGGTCGGGATTCCTTGCCCATGGAGATTGCTTATCTCACGGCCAAGATGCTGGGAATCTTCACGATCGCTCTCTTGGGAGGATCGCCGCGGGAAGGGTGTTGTTGCTGCGGCTTGGGCCAGTTGCAGACACCCAGGGCTTGCCAGCATGTGCCAGTTCCGAATCGCGATGCGGCTTGCTAGCTTGTGTCGTTGCCGCGTCGTAGCTTGGATGTTGCCACCGCTGCTATAGCACTTTCCGTTGGCAGTGGTATGTGGTTCGCGGTGTTGGTTTTGCTGCTTATTTGGAAGCAGTACGTCAGCACGTAGCTGTGTTATTTGATGGACGGATGTCTGGAATCCCTGCACGACTCCCAGGATACCTGATAGCATGCGCAGCTCCTGCTTGCTTGTTCGCTTTTCAACTGCTGATGAAGCTTCAAATTCAGCACCGCTAGCCTAGATGACCTGCCTGCCTCAACAAGATGGCTACCAAGCTGGAACCTGCGCACACTACGATGCTTGTCCCTTGTGGAAGGCTTTGCGCAGAAGGACGAGGAGACGACCACAAGCAGCATCCTCCTGAACCAGCTCATGGCAGCGCCCTAAGACGGCGTGCAGGTGTGTTTTGACCACTTCCGGATGTCTGGGGTGTCTGTGCCTGTGCAGGAGCTTCAGAAACTAAGATGCAATGTAGTAAGACATTGATAAGACCCCTAGTTGAAACATCCATGACAGTCCGGAAGGCCGTGCTTTTGCCGGGTCAGCTCTTGGAGCCCTTGCAGAAGCACTAGCGCCAACTTGCAGAAGCACTAGCGCCAACAGTTTCGAGTGACGCTGAAAGCCTCAGCGCTTCACATTGACAACAGTTACTCTTTGCAGGATCAGAAACCCACTTCATGACCTGAACCCTGAAGCCTAAATCCTAAGCCCTAAACCCTGAATCCTAAACCCTAAACCCCAAACCCACTTTATCATAGCTTCACCACAACCTCCGGCCCTGGCGACCCACGAGGCTTTCAGCGCCGCCGGCCTCGTCGCAGTGGGAGCTGCTGCAGACACGACGGCGGCCCGAGCAGACGAGTGCCTTTGCAAAGCCTTCCATCATAGATTGGGTTGTGGGTCCTGGGTGTGGCCCGAAAGCCCCGACATGTCCGAGCTTGTTCTGTCGAAGTCGAAGTGGCCGCTCCATATGTTTGAGACAGCAGCCATGGTCGTTTTCATTGCTGCTTGAACGGAGCATTGCCGAGAGGCCTTGTAAATCGAACCGATTCCACACTTTGTTAATGAGGTTGAGCTGATCAGTTCTCTTGTGAGGACCCTGGGCAGCATGCTCCAGACAGCCCGGCAGGTCTTGGCCGTGTCCCAGGTACCGGGGCTGGAGCTTTCAACTCTTCGTAAACCTGATGTTGTCATGCTACAGTACTACGGTGTTGCAGTGTTCTTAAGGTACATTGCATGGACATAGTGTGGGTCTCCAATGTGAGACTCTACAGCTTCATACCCACTGTGACGGCTCGCGTCGCTACGACTGCAAGCTTGCGTGGCCTCGCGTGCGAAGCCCTGTGCACTTGTCATTGGCGCTCAATCCTTCTGAGTTTTGCGGTTTCTGGTTGCGGTTGTCTTATCATGACTAGCTCGTGTCTTTCTGTAGGGTTTCTGTTGACTTTCGAAGTCGACGACGACTGCTGCTGCTCCTACTACTTTAACTACTCCCGCTCCTATGTGACGACGACGACAACAAGTACTACAACGACTACTACTGCTACTCCTACCGCTGCTGCTACTGCGATTGCTGCTAAATCCATGAGCAATGCTAGGAAGAGCAGAAGCACGCACGCACGCATGCACGTTATTCATGACAGTGCCAACAATGGAGCGAAATGGCAGTCATTAGGATCGCTGCTAGTATCCTTAAGGCTTTTCCTTAAGCCGTTTTCTTGAGGCGGATTTGGGCCTGACCTCCTTCGAGTGCATCCTGAGTTCTGCTGGCCGGGCGTCCTCGATGGGCGTCGCACAGGTCCTGTCCACGGCCCTACCCACACTGGTGAGCCCTGGACTCACATGGGCTTAGCTAAACCCTAAACCCTAAACCCCTTAGGACTTATATATAGGCCTTAAGGTGGTATGGGCCTGGGCCTTAGTTCGAACCCTGGGCTCGAGGTGGGCTACGGGGTGTAGGGCTTTGATGGGGCCTAGGGTCTCAGGACGCAGCGTCCTGTGGTCTGCAGGGTCTGCAAGCATTTAGTTAGGATTTTCGATGTTCGAGTTTGGGTTTTATGACGTTTTATGGCTGGCTTCAGTCCCAGCACTAGAGCGCGCAGTCCGTGGTTGAAGGGGATTTCGCTCCTGTCAGATGATCTTGCGATATGCTGAGTCCTGTGGCCGGGACGAGAGCTCACACGCTGATATGCTAGTCAGCTACTCCTCTCTGAAAGAGCACTTAGCAAGTATGGCCGGAATGGATGTGGGGTATTGAAGGGTAATGTATTTTGGCGATCTTTCTGCCGCTGGCCCGCTCTCATCTTGCAGCCTCGAATGGAAACTGTTACTCGGATTGCGGATAACCCTCGATGCGTCAAGGAAGCGTCTTTTGTTCCTCTGACCGTTGGCCGTCAGGATTTGATAAAATAGCCACAGCTTCCATCTCAAAGAAGCCCTGCGAAACTAGACGAAGCATGAGGATGCTGAGCGCTGGCATGCGATACCCTTACCTGGCCCTGGTGGCTGGAATCTGGGTTGCGATTGACAGAGGAGTCGGAAGAGGGCACATGCAGGTGCAGGTTTTGTGTGCATCCTGAGAAGCTGAAGCAGGGCTTCCTTTGGAATCGAGTTTTGGTTTTGACTGGAGACTTCTGGACATGCTCCGGCTTCTTCTGTTCACACCTTCCAGTGCTGCTCTCGCTTGCACTCGCAGTCTGAAGCGTGTGCAAGCTGCGGTGCTGCCATGGTCGTGCAGATTCGGGTTTGTGCTATTTCCGACGATGGCTTTGAGAGACTACAGCTAAAGTGACTACGGCAGTGGGCATCACCAGAAGTTCTGTGCGCATTGCCGGCCAACAGTGAAAGACTTCCGAGCTGAAGTTTGTCATTCCTGCCCGCAGCCGATGCCGAATGATTCGGCATGGAAGGTAAAAAGCTTGCTGCAGGTTGCTGCACCCTAACCTTGGCGTTAAATCGAAGGAGGTCCACTCTAAGCCACTGTACCCTAACCTCATGCAGACAGCAATCGAGCATCGACGACATCCACGTCCATGAGTAGTGTATTTTGCCTTCGTTCTGAGGCAGCAACTGCTTCCTACCCGGCTTCGCCGCAAGCGTTGGAAAGCTTTTTTGGCTCGGCATTAATTGCGGGAACTTGTGTTTAGGAGCTTGGTGCCCTCGGTTCGTGTCACACCCGCCTTGCACAGATGTAGGAACATGTGGGGGAAACCCCGGGGCAGGTGGAGCAGTGGATGCAGGAATGTTGGGAAACGTAGGGATCCTGTCTGTCGCGCTTCCATCAACATTTGGCCGATTCTCCTCGCTTTTGGCAGACCTGGAAAGCCATACCCTACATTGCAATCAGGTTTGTGGTGGTTGTCCCAGACGTGGAAGTGGAAGAGACAGGAGAGAAATCGCAACATTGGCAGTATAGGTACCTGCACAGAGTCTGTGCCCAAAAGCTCTTGTTTTGATGTAAAGCTGCTCTGAGGCAACTGGCCATGCCTGACTTACCCCAGGGCTTCTCTGCAACCACTGGCGCCCCTTGCACCAGATTCAGACCTCGGTCATCGAGCCTTTGGCTGTAGTCGTGTGAGGGATAGGAGAGAAGCAGCATAAAAAAGGCTGCCCTCGGAGTGCCTCTTCTAAGCTTCTGCTTGGCCCGAGAGGAGCCAAAACTCCCAAAGAGGGTTGTGCCTTGCTTGGAGGTTTGTGGCTATGGAAGATCGGGAATTCATCGCACTCTTTGCCTCGAGCTTCCCAAGCATAGCCAAAAAGTTGGCAAGGAGATTATCGGAAGCTCTGTCCAGGTGATGTTCTTTGGCGGGCTGATCTTGCTTTCCTTCGCAGCGGTCGGGCTAGGCCCTGTCACGGGCAGGAGCCTCTCCTATGGTTCAGGATGTATAGAGGTTTGTTCCGGATGTGAGAGGCCCTTGTACCGAAAGGCATCTGCAAGAGTCTCGCAAACAGGGTAGCTAGGTTTAGGTGCGGAGCAAGCTAATAATGATAGCAAGAATAGTACTTAACATTAACAACAGAAAGATCAGGATGCAGGCTTGGCAAGCATCGTCATAGCTGTGAGCGTGGATCGCAGCGGCACAGCCATCCCAAGCTGGGAAATCTTCTGGAGGCTGGTCCTATGTCACAGTCATGACCAAGGAGTCGCCAACGCCACTTTTCTTGAACCAGTCGCGGCAGCGGTGACGGTAGCTAGATGAGACGCTGATGAATGTTTGTGGGGTATCTCAACCGCCAAGCCTAATTTGCACATCGGACCTGCAACCAACGACATTCGAGCCAACACGCGTCAAGCTGGAAAGCAGAGTCATGGGGCCCGCGCCCCTCCCACACAGCCAACTCAGCCAACCCAAGCAGAGCCCAAAGATCACCGACGGAGGCCGGCACACGTGGCCTACCTGCGGAGCGCCTTTACCCCAGACCACTCGGCTGCTGAAGTGGAGAGGATGGTGCTTGGACGGCATCCGGCATGTTTAAGGCATACGGGTAGTTCTCTAAAGCAGGGACCCTTGCTAGATCCCAAAATAGTACGGCACCCTTGTAAAAAGGGACCCTGGAAAGGACCCTACTTTAACTTTAGAGAACTACCCATATGCTTGGCAAGCTCTGAACTCTGATCCATCTGTTCGAATCATGGGGTCTGGCCTACGGGAGCCAGCCTCTTGCTTGGTAGGGGGTCCGATGCTTCCTGCATGCTTGCGAGCTTCATGCCTGCCTGTAAGAATATCAGTAAGAGCAATAAAACAGAATCACATTAGTAAGTATTCTCATTCTTGTTACTTAATAAGAATGCCCGATAGCAAGAATCACAACAACAATAGCAGCAGTAATCATAAAACTCATGATCGCCATGGCAATGATATTCTGTGTCTTCGATATGAATGAACACAGGGGTGGTTTCTTCCCTACTTTCAGACGACGGCTTCATGGCTCGAGGCACGAAACCGACTTTATTTTGAAAATCAATTGCGGCTGAAGCCAGCTGGTTTAGGTAGAGTCAGTTAGAGGTTAGGGGCTTGGAGCTTAGGCGTCTGGGGGTTGAAACTGCAAACCAGTGCAGAGCCCACACCTGCAAATTGCGAAGGTGCGGAAGATGCTGTTCAGACTGCTGCCTGTCCTTCTCCCGGCATTCCGGCAGCAGAGGCTTTTGTTGGAGTTTTCATGACGGGGCTCGGGCTATTCAATCGCTGCATGCGGACTTCGACGGCATACTTTCTTCATTCCTTTCTTTTGGAATGCATGAATGCGACAGCACATTGTGCCCGTAAAAATAAAGACAAGGTGAAGAATTCTCACAATTGTTCGTGCGGAGTTCCGAACACGGTTCATCAGATCTGGAGCCTACCTGAAGCCTAGGTCTTCCAAGGATACAGTTCCAATCAGGGCTCCAAGGCAAAGTCAATTCCTTAATGCCTTGATGGGCTCCGACGCGAAGCAGTTACAAGGTAAGTCCTCTGCGAAAGTCGTGGAAGTCTCAATTTGAACATCATGGGCATGCGACATTCGAGGTTGGAGCCTACCCCGCCTCACAGATGGCCTGTGCCTCTATCCTGCTGCTGCTTGTGCTGGAGCCTCCGAGAAATTTAGACTAGACAATCAACAGTGCTTTTTGGCACAAGTTCAATGCCTTCCTGGGAAAGCGTGCTGGTTGCTCTTTCAACACAGCAGCAAGAGCAAGCCAATCTGTCAAACTCAGGTGATATTTATGCGCTTCGGCTGCATCCTTCTTGCCAATCTAAGCAACCGTCACAATCTACATACTATTTTACATTGTATATTGGGAACAGTCGAGACAATGGTTCAGTATGTGGCAGTGGTAGCAGCAGCAGCAGCAGCAGCTGCCCAAAAGCAGCGTGATGTGCATTTGAAAGCTGTGATGGCCTACACCTTTTCACTAGGACTCAGTCGAATGTGTGTCCATTGGAGGTTGGCCGGAGCGATGCCCCAGACACAGCATGCACGTCTGACGAAGCCCCCCACTGCACTGCAGGCACATCAAGCCTTATCGGGAGATGTGGCTGAATCATGTCGAGATTGCTTTGCAGCCCGGCAGCAGTGGGCTGCATTGTTAATGAGTTCGGCCACCTGCTCGGAGAAGATGGTATGCTTCGGCTTCTGTAACCGTGGGCGCCACGGACACGAGCTAATCGACTTGTTTTCCACGCAAACCAACTCAACTGATGAAACGACCCAAGCGAAGCAAACGAGGAGTCAGCTTTGATGAGGTACTGAAAACTATAACTGTGTTTATATCAAGGCTAGCTACACCGACTAGTCTAGCAGAAGTAGCAAGGCCAGGGCTAGCTGCTAGGCTTATCCCTGATTGCATTTAAGTCCCAGTGACATTTGTTTGAGTTCGGAAAAGGTTCGAAAACATGATCAGCATAGATGAACTCACCATGAGCCAAGTCCCCTTGCTTCAACAAAGATACATGCATGCTTCTAACGAGAGCTCAACATCCCTGCTCCCGGTTTCGAGCATGAGTCCAAACTATTCCCATTCAAAAGCACAAATCATTGCATCTCTCTGCGCAATGTACTCCCAGCACCCGGTGGCACTCGCAAAGTCCTGGTGGCGTGATCAAGGCATGAGTATACAGGTCGCGGTGAGGTGCACGGTAGGCACACCCGGCCCCGCGGTCATCGGCTCCTGCTATGACAGCATCTTCCTGCTGCAGTCCCACTCGCGCCCGGTCTGCCAAGGAAGCCGAGTTCTGTGCACAATCCGATACTTCGGTGATGGTGAATCGTAGCTTAGAGCCCAAGGCCGTGTGTGCGAGGGATCGTCGGCCTGGTCTGGAAATCATGCCATTCTACAGTAATAGGGTTACTTTGAGACTTTCCGAAAACTAGGGTACGTTATTTTGGGGTCCTTATAATAAGGATCCTACCATTTAGGTTACTATATTAGGGTCCCCTATTTTCGCCCCTGCCGGCCGAATCTTGGAGTCCACCTCGTATTGCCGCCACAGTCCCGTGCATATTGTCGCACATCTGTTGCATTTTCTGCGATCAAAACAGCTTCGCTTCCAGCAAAACCCGGGAATCAAGAGCAGGACATTGCGGTGGGGAGCCAAGACACTGGGAGCTGTGTCTATCCACGCTCCGGCTTTGCCCAGGATTACCACCGCACTCCTCATGGTCTTTATGGCTAAATGGCTGCTGAGCAGGGCGCCTTGCTGAGATTAAGGTGAGTACTATAGAAGCCGCAATAATTAGTACAGGAATACTGTTCCTGGGGGCCCCTTGTTGTGAGTTTGGTCTACTACACCTCCACAAACTATAGCTTATCTATTCTGATTATTCATGTTAATGGCACCTGTAGTGGCAGAGGGAGCCGACGCAGCGGGCTGGTTCTAGCATGGACATCGTGAAAAGGAAGGCATCCTCAAACAGAAGCTGCTGTTGTGTACTCAAACTTCGAGTGTTTCGCCAGCTACGTCCTCGTGCTGTATACAGCGTCTGCCAAGACTACTTCTAACATCACGCGGTTCGAGGGCGAGGAAGACCGAAGGCGACATCGATATAAATTAACCAAGTACGAGCAAGGAAGTGCTGAAACTAAAGCCATCCCGCAAGAGGAGCCAGAGCAGTAGTGGGAGTGCAGCTTGCTGCGGGAGCAGCAGGGTTTCAGTTGGAAGCTTTAGACTATCCATAACTTCTCAACGATGATTGGACGCAGCATGCGATGTTCTTGTAGCTTCGGTAGTTCCAAACGCACACTGTGCTTTGTGTCGCGGGAGCTCAACTTCTCAGATAAGGCATCATGGCGCTCGACTCTAAGTCACGATGATACTACGATTATATTATATGTATGCCATTATACTATTATATAGGCACATCAATATATATATATATATAATGTACTATGATATTTATTATTATTATTAATTATTATTATTATATATATATATATATAGACTAATACTATTCTGTTGATGTTGTCATAACGCCATAGCGGAATGCTCACTCCCCACGGCGAGGATGTCGAGGGCGCTGACGGCTCTGCCATCGACGTGTTCCTACTGGGCACACTGGCCACTTGAATTCAAGCGCTAAATGTGGTCCAGTCGTTCAAAGCTGACTCTCGAGTAGCTACCAGTTCTTCAGCGTAGGAAATTCAAGATCTATGCAGGATGTAAGAGTCCTAATGAGGGGTTTCGAAAAGTGTGGGTCGGGTGTAAGTTCACATGGGCTTTGAGTACATCAGCCAATGATGCAACACTCGCTTGTAGGCCCTCAGGGCCTCGCTCCAAAGGCAATGCGCTGCAACGCTTCTGTCGCCGCGCCATAGTAGTGTTTCGGGCTTGGTCTAGGGTTGCTATAGTAATCCGAAATCATAAAACAATAAGGGTTACCGTACGACAGAACTGCTCTTTGTATACTGATACACCCTACAGCCCAAGCCGGGCTGGTTTGACGAAGTCCAGCTGCAGTCTCACCGGGTCAGAAATTCGATAACCATCAGAATCAGAACCAGGAACAATGCCTGAACAATGTGTAAAGCCGTGAGCGCATCAGCAAATGCGCACACTCCCTCCGCGCATGTGCATGTATGTACACTGTACTCAGTGCACATACAGAACTACACTGGTCGAACATGTCCTGTCAAACATAGATGCGCACAAACACTGTATGCAGGAAGTCTTTGAAGTCCGAAATTACGCCGAGGCTTCATTGGGCTTTACTGTGGCCATTGCGCTGACGGCATCCCTGCTGTGGCCGCTGACCGCAAACCCTGTGTAGGTTTTGTGCGTGTAGAGTGTAGAGGGCACGACGCAGCAGTTGCAGCTTCCATGAATTATGACCCAGGCTGCTCTAGCAGTGCAAAGTCGTCCTGTCCTAGGCTTTCGTGAAGTCCGGATATCATGTTCACAGTGCACACAGTCCACCCATTTTTCCGCGAAGACTTCTCATTGGGCACGTGGCTGTTGGCTATAGGTTTCTATTTGGCGAACGACACGGTCGAGAGCTGCTGGAGGACTTCTGAGGACCTGTTGCAACCGGTAGCGGCAGGACGTTGAGCATGTTTCATTCTGGACAAGTCTCAGAAAGGACGAGGTTGGCCGGCAGTCAGAGGAGGGCAGCAGCAAATTTATGACTACCGCAAGTTGATCAAATCGGCTGTGGCCGTTATCTTAAGGTAGCTTATCCATCTGTGTCGCAGCTTTCCCATGCTCAGTGCTCACCTGCGAAAAAAGGAGCTTCTCTGACATAGCCGACATAGCCACGATCTCTAAACACTCTGAAGCTAAGGGTTTGATTTGGTAAACCCTACACTGCCCCACATTGTTTCACACCCTGGGTTTCAGGCTCCAGACTTGAGGGATTCTTTGGATACTTCAGTTTCTGAGTTTCTGAGACCAGGCCACCTTTGGATCCCCAAGAGTGGTTTGAGGGTTTAGGGTTCAGGGTTTACCTTTGGTTTGAGCAGTTGCCTTGCAGCGAGAGCATGAACTGATTAGCGCTGAAGCACTGCCCGGAGATCTTCAAACATGATTGCATGCTCGTGGCCTCGAGCTTTTGCCCGTGCGGGTGATCATGCATGGTATCTGTGGTGCATCCGGTCTCGAAGCATAATCCACGAGCTCCAGCCGGCAAAAGTGAAGAAAATCTGGTGTGCAAACTCGCGGACTAAGCCGGTCGCTTATACGCCTAGAACGTGAACTCGTGGCAGAGTGTTGTGACCTCAGGCGCTCGACGAAGCTAAGAAGGCCTTTGCACATTCTGACTTGGCTGAAAGTCTTGAGGATCCTTTGGTCTTATAGGCTTTATAGGCTTTAGGGTTGCTCTCTCTTTCGGCGGCTACAGTCAGGCACTTTGCGTAAGAAAGGGGTATTCGATTGGCAAAGCTGAGGCAGTAACATGATTTACTGAGGGCAAGATAAGATCTCAGCTCTCCCAGGACCGAATGACTTGCGTTGAAGCTTCGGAAAATAAAGGCCCCTTTATGTATGCCATTCGTACTGTGTTAATCGGTGCTATCGCAAGTCTTCACCAGGTAGTTTGCCCATGAGCTTGTGTTTGCCGATGGGGGGCGGTGTAGTCAGCGTTGATCCAACGAATGAATACTGACCACAGCGAAGCACGGTGCAATACTCTCGAGGCCCCATTCACTCCTCCTCAATGACGTGCCCCATCTGAAGGGAAATAACCGATTTGTTGCAGGCGCGTGCCATCTTTCGGAAGCATGGCCTGCGACATGATGAAGGAATCGCTTTTGCCTCATGCGTCCCTTCGGTGGTGGAGGGGGAGGTTGTGTGAATCGGATGTCGGACGGACATGTTCTCCAGATGAAGCGAAAGGGCCAACTTCCCTCCCGTGTGAGAAGGCCGGTCACTGCTGGTGAAGAGCTGCGCGCACAAGCTTGGTCAGGAGCTTCTCGGTTGCAATGGTCGTGGCTGCGAGAAGTGTGAAGGTCTGTCTGTTCAGCCTGTTCATTCACGCTCGTTGCTACTGTTCGGCAGCTGATCATGCTGCTGCTGCTGCTGGCTACTGCATTCGTTGTTGTCTAGACGTCGCTGTTTTCGTTGGTATCAGGTATGGGGCACCGTGCAGTCCGTGGGGCCGAAGCATTTGAGCCGAGACCGGAACTGTAATTGTCACTTCGGACACCGGGCGGGGGGTGGTGTTGTCGGGACGCAAGGTCGCCCGGGCTCCGCTAGAGTAGCACCTCCCCGAAGAGTTTCAGAGGCACAGGAAGAGGCCTGCCCGTTGCGAGTGCCAAGGTTGGGCCAAGCTGTCGGGACCCCGGCGCAGCGGCTCGGGGTCTGAGGGAATTTTACTCTTGGGACATTACCATTTGAGATCCTTTGAGCATGGGTGGGCCTGAAATGGAAGAACAGCAACTTGCGTCTGTCAGTCCTGTTCTAGGATGGCATGTTGTTGTAATTAGAGACGTGATTCTCAGATGTATGGTCGATGCTCTGGTGCCTGAAGTTTCCTTCTACCCGACACTGTAGTCGATGAAGTTATCGATTGCAGATGACCTGCAAGTCATGCCAGGCATAAGAACAGTTCTCCAAAGCAGCACGTGAGTCTCACGATCAAGACCCCCTAAGAGCGACCTTAAGCCAATCCGAGTGTGAGAGCGGAAAGAGAGTTCTCTTCTGCAACCCGTGCGAGGTCCAAGATGCCACAGAAGCACAGTACCTCTTCCAAAAGGAGAAGGACCGAAGGCACCACAGCTGCAGAAAGCTGTGAACTGTGATTCGCTGTAAGTATGCCGTACCTTTCAATCATGCCCTCAGCTCCCAAGCTAGAATGTGATTTTTGCAGGTAGGGGCGAAACGCCCCAGGGTACATAAGGTCTTATTCAGCACGTTCCCGGATTCATCTCGCAAGTGCACGAGGGACAAAGCAGCTTGTGAATCTTCACTGGCAGATGTATTCAAGCATTTCAAGCGTGCCTTTGAGACCCTGCCAAGGTGGGAGACCAAAGCGCTGCATGATGTTGCCGAACTGCAGGCGGTACTTCGTAGCAGATCGTGCCGACCAGACCAGGAGGAAGAAGTTAAGATGTAGTAATGTGATGTAGTGGAGTGCTCGAACTCGGCGGCTCGCAATTGCATCCGTCGCAGCGCAAGCCGAGCTCGGACTCAGATTGCAAGTGCTTCACCAGTGCAGTCAGACTTGGAACGAGCCTCGCAACCGTGCTGTAGGCCGCCAAGAACGCACAACAGGCAATCAACGGTGCATTTCAGAATCTGCAGCTTCCCACCGCGATTGGATTCGTTTCATCGGAACCGCACGGCCAAGTTCAGACACATGCTGTCTGAGCAGGCAATGAGAGAGAACTTTCCCGCTGCCATGAGAGTCGCGGCCTCATTGGGGAAGTTAGGCTCAGCACTTTGATTATTTCCATCTCCGCTAGGCCCACGCCGGCCCTCTCAAGCCCTGATCCTCGCTCTCGCACCAGTCTTTCTCTCGCCCTCTGTTTCTTCGTCACTGTTTCTTTCTTGTTTCAGTCCGTCGGTCCGTTTGTCCGTCCGTCTGTCTCTCCCTCTCTCTCCCTTCTCTCACTGCCTCGCTGTTTCCGCGTTATCTGTCTCCTATAGTGTTTGAGCTCTCGCTCCTTCGCCTTGCTCTCGCCCTCTTCCTTTTTTGGCACTAGTTACTAGTTTCTCTTTGTCCTGTCTCTCTCTCTCTCTCTCTTGTCGTTTCCGCGCCCAACTACCATCCCGCGTTCGTTGCTGCATGAAGGCAGCAAAGAAGGCGGAGCAACTGGTTCAGGCTCGCAGGGAAGCGACGTGCAGCTGCAGCCTGACGCACTCACACGAACCCTCGGCCCGACTCTGATATTCCTTAAGTATGCTTAAGTCGACTGCATTAAACCTCCGGTTTTGGTGGAGATCCCTCTGCACATATGAAGCACTCCATGACAGCAATGATGGAACGGCAGATCGAAAGCAAGTGATTCCTCAGAGTGCCTTCGGTTGGTAGGGTCGAGATCTCGTCCATTTGAGGGCCGCATTCAGGTTTTTTCTACTACCAACCACCCTTGAAATAAACACCTTGAAGGGAGCGCTTGCTGGGAATTTGTCCAGCAACATCTGCTACTTTCACTCTTGATTAACTAATTTCGTAACCTCGCTGGTGCGTCGATTCGATTGCCCGTTTATATGGACAGACGAAAGCAGGAGACCACGGACAAGTCCAACATTGCTGCCGTGCTCTCTACAGTAGCCAGGGGCCTTTGCTCGAAAAGTTAGATGGGGGTTTCCGAAAATAGGGGACCCCAATCCCCAATATAGTACCCCTTATTTTCGGAAACTCCCATATTGGGATCTCAGTCCTCTGGGGATTCTTTCGGTTGGGCCTTCATCCCTAGTCCCTATAAGGCCCTAGGCTCAACTTCTATGTCGCAAAGGAGGTGACCTAGACGAACCCCGCTGAGTGTTTCAATTTGAAGGATTTCCTAAATTGGACCCGGCCACTCCTGAGCCATTCGATGCGAAACCTAGACCATCCTAGACCTAAACCGGGCTGTCTGTAGGTACCCATAGGCCCCTAGGTAGTGCCTTTTTGGGATTACCACATAGGATTCTAAATATAAACCATAAAAAGGAACTACTTAGGGGCCTACGGGTAGTTGTAATTGGGGCAACACAGGCCACAGCCTCGGCCAACCTTGGCCCTAACTTAGAGGCAGCTGGAAAAGAGGTGTCAAAAACAAAGCCGGGCTGTTTGGCTCAAAGGCTCCTGCGCCCCGTCCGGTCCCCTCTGGGGTCCACTTAGCATGTCAGAGATGATACATGCCAGAAGTCCCTGGCGAAGCAGGCCCGACCTTAGGGTTTAGGGTTTGGGATTTAGGGTTTGGGTTCTAGGGCTTAGAATTTAGAGTAGTGGACCTCCCATGTTCCTTTCTGAGTCGTTGACACCAGGGCTCAGGTCTTTGACGTAGGTGCGAGTGACCAAGCCCTTCCTCGCCAAGCGAGATCTGTTGCACATCTGATCTGGCCATGGGGATGTATCTGGGCTTGTCCTTCACCTAGCGCATGAACGAACTGCTCTCAAGACATATACAAGTCTCCTCTGCAAGTCCGCGTAATAAGTTGCAGATTCTCCAAGATTCATATGCTATGCTCTTGGGACATATCGACAGACCGCATGCACTCGAGATTTTGCGGATTCCGCAACTTGAAGTGGCAGCTTAGTTCTACGGCGCTGTGTCTCATGGTAAAGTGCAGCCATGCAGGGCTTCAATCGTTTGGGTTTCGGGTCTGATGTGATTCAGGGCGGTGGGCCGTGGTGTCAGAGTTGTCTGGCAGGCGAAACCGTGGAATAGCGACGGTACTGGCGTTCCTCGGCAAGGGCCCGGCAAAACAGCAGAAAAGTAAAGCAGGCTCTTGTGAACTAGACAGCGCAGACGACTTGTTGGAGTGTACCGTGTAGTTCGCTTTTGCAGTCAGGAACATCCCTCGGTCGAGATGAGGTTCTCAAATTCGAGTCCAATTTCGGTTATGAGCCGAACAATTGCCTCCAGAGCAC